TTTTCGAATCTCTTCCAATTCTGACTGGAACTGAATCATCTATTTAAAAATAAAATAATATGAAATAAAAAAAAATGTATTTCTTATTATTCTAAATCTGTTTTCTAATTTAAAAGCAGATTTTTTTTTGTCAAATCACTCGGGAAAACTTGTCATATTTTTACAGTGAAATGAATAAAACTTTTAAAATAAAATGAGTTGTTTCAGATTGAATTATTTCTAATATTACAAGCATGATCCCACCATTTTGGACGAATTCTTTTCACATCTATCTCAGTACGTTTGCTAATGATCAGAGAATCTGTTACCTCTTTTTTTTTTATTCATATCTCCCTATGCAAGTTGTTACGTTGCCACACAACCAACCCCCTAACCCTCAGTACACTTTACGCCTATAGTGAACTATTTCTCTTTCCTTCTCTCTCTAACAGTGACATTCACCCCTTCTCTCTCTCTCTCTCCCCTTCTCTCTCTCTCTGAAATTGTTGAAATCAGCAGTCGGATGAATGTTGGGCAGCCAAATGACTGACCCTAGAAATAAAGTCGGGTGAGAACTAAAACTATCATCTCCCTCACATGCGGAATCACGTGATCTAATATGAAAAGTTGAGCGGGAAAAATATCTGAAGAATCAGTTGAACTGCGGAGCTCAAGCGATCTACACCCTTTCTTTTGTTATCGCCAGCTAAAGGGGATTACATAATAAAGAGACTCAAGCCTAGTACTAACTCACATACACTATGCGGCATAATCCTAGACCAAAGGTAAAGGTGAATTACTCAACGTGTTAATCACCGAGGACAGGAGCAGGTGTGAATTAGAGAAAGCCACGATCAATACGGGGCCGAATCTTCCCAAATGAAAGAGAAATTTTATATTATTGAAGACGTGAAAGGGAAGCGACCATCACTTCGAATCAAGACTTGCAACAGTAAAGAAAAAGAAACAGAATTTTTCTGGACGAGCGAATACGAAAAAGAAAGGATGGACTGAAAGAGAAAAAAAACAAAGGAGGGAAAGATAGAAAGGAAAATAGAGAAAACCTGTTTTATTTCAGACAATGGACAAAAGCTAAGTTTTTCCTATGATTTTCATATCGCATACACCGCGCGCATCTTTACATTTTCTGTGTTATTCTAATGCATAAGTAAATCTTGTTAAATCTTACTCCGGTGTTTGTCGTTTGTCACTATTGGTTATTTCTGCTTACCCGTGCTTATTTGACTCTGCGAGAGAACCCACCACTTACGGAGTGGAAACCTTGACTATATGCTTTGACAACAAATCATGTTTTTACAATTTTCTTTTCATATTTTTTTTGCGGTAATTGGTTCATAACAAAGGCCATAAAGCCACTAATACACTAAAGGTTACTGAGTGTGAAAGAATAAGAAAAATATAACATTATTAAGGAGCGATAATAACAAAAGAATAATCAAGAAGACAGTAGATAAGGATTGACATTGCATTTAAATTTTTGAAGAGCAAAGTTGGGCGGAAAGCCTAAAGCCGGAAGAGAGTTCCACAAACGAGAAGTGCGAGAAAAGAAACTGTTCGTATAGAACTTACTATAGCTAATTCAAATGTTAATTGCAGAGACCTTGCCGCCAATCTAGTTTTGCGCTTAAATTTATAAAATCCACGTACCATCGCAAATAGTTCATCCGAAAAATTACCATGAAAATATTTATAGAAAAGGCACAGGGAAGCTATGTTACAGTAGTGGAAAATTGACTGAAACCGAGATGTCAGGTCAGGACCAATAATATTGCTGATTCTCCTTTGGATTTTATTAAGAATTTCTGGATCGCCGGACCATATATGACAACATTCTGCCTTGCATTAACGCTCGACCTTTGAGCTGGGATCAAACTGTTTTATGTTTTCTCTTGTTCTTCAATTAATTTGTAGGGTGACGGAACATCTGTGAACCTGATCAACACCCCATGTGTTTCGGTTGTATGCTAATCTCTAAATCTCTATGAAGGATCGTCCGGTTTAATCAGTGGCGTTGTCAGGTCAATTTTTTACTCTTTCGGGTTGCCTGTCTTGTAGGAGGGTAGTGTAAAAATTGCTGGCTCATGTGACGTGGCTAGATGCCCAGGGATTTCCATGTACGCGGCTGCACCTTCCTCATTGATCCAAAGAGGGTGGGGTTGCTGGATACCGACACCCAGTGTGACAGTATTCGCAGAGACTGGGGAATTGTTGCCCTTGGCCCATATGTACAAGTGCTTTAAACCGAATATTCTACAATCGTGGGGAGGTGTTTCCATAATGGGTCAAAGTTTACATGATGCCGTATAATACTTGTAGGGAGAGAAAGTTAAGAGATTCGTTATTGATGCATGGGGCGCCAACGGTGATATGTGGTTGGTGCTGACTCATTTAAGGTAGTAGCTGTGATTACTAATTATTCCGGGTGCTGTCCGGAAGAAAACAATCTTAACCCAACGTACATAGAAACAGACGTAAAAACGCAATGGTGAAGCAAGGCATTAAAAAAAGTGAATTTTTAAATGAAACTGAGGTTACAGATTTATTTAACAACAAATAACAGTTTATCTGGATGTTTTATACATCGTGTAGGGAATATAATAAGACCCTTGAAAAGAAGGGTGAGTTCACATATACACATCTGAGGTGTTTTTAAATACACTCTTGAAAGAGATAAGTTAACATACATACATTTAGGTGTGTTTAAGTCTATGAGAAATGGAAAATTTGTTAGACACACATTGAGGTGTGTTTATAATAAAACCCTAATGGAAAGAGGAAAGTTCATACTTTATATTCGTTGTGGAATCTACATCAGAAAAATCAGGAAATATTTCAGTTGATTAGTAATCCGTTTGAGTTGACAACGCGGAATCCATTCAGCAACTAACTCTTACTTGGAGTATGGTCTGTATTTATAGATTCCCTTAAGCAGGTGCTGGTTCATAAAAAAAAGAAAAAATAAACGCTCTCAGTGGTCGATTAATAATTTAAATTATATTTCGAATATTTCTGAAACGCTACCGGAAGTGCAACTTGGAGCCGATGCGCAAATGACCGATTTTGGACTTTTGAGACGGAAACTTCCGGTCCACCCGACATATACTGTCTGTGCTTCTCCTCCCTCTAGTGTTTCTGCCTTCGAGCAGTTCATGCTTTTTGTAATGAGCCAAGCTTAGTCCGGGTTTTCCAACCTTGCGGCATAACATCCTTCATTGTAGTAAAGCGAGAGAATTGGTGATAGTAGTCACAGGACTTAAACAATTTTTCTTCTCGACCCATATGCTAGGACATCACACGGTAAACCAATCTAGTTTCATATCCTACCTCTTTTTGGTCGGTAAAGTAAATAAATTTCGTCCCCAGACCTTTGCCAAGGATTAAAGTGTAGTATCTATGGAATCGAACCTGTATTCCTATACGTGAACCGTCATTTGATCTGACGTGCGATTCTCGTTAGCAAAGTCCTAATTATTGTTTTTAAATTTTTGTTTTCATCTTTACTAACCAGACCAGAATACAGGTTCGATTCCTGTCGGAGAATCTATATTTTCTACGAGATTTCTCGAACATTGAGACCGATAAATGTAATTCATACAGTTTAATTAAAAACAGAGCATTTATTTAAGTACATTGTATCTATAAAAAATAACGTATAAACAGAAAATATATTAAATAATTTTTGGTTTTAATCCATATATATATATATATATATATATATATATATATATATATATATATGGATTAAAACTAACAAAAATCCACACACAAACATATATATATATATATATATTTTTAGGATATTACATAAAAAACAGGTAAAAAACGATACACAAATGCAATAATGTGTTGATACGTATTAACACATCTCATTAAGAGTTAGTAACTAACTGATGAACCAGTTATTTACTAACTCCTGATGAGATGTGATAATACGCTTCGAAACTTGATTGCATTGGTGTTGCTTTTTTACATGTTTTTTTATTTAATATCCTAAAATAAAGAATATTCCTCTATTTTTGTATTGAGTCCTCTTTTAAATTGAATGTTACGAACGTTGGAATTAGACTCTCTTTGTTCTCATGGACATGTATATATATATATATATATATCATTAGGAGGATTTGATAATTATATTTAAGTAATTCATCGAGTCTGAAAGAAACTTCAACAGAATGCAGAAAGCACTGGACGGCCGTTTCGTCCTACATTTGGGACTACACCAGCAGTGCGCATCCGCTATCGTGAATTGAAACCCTGACAGTTAGGTTGTCAAGCAAACATCATACCAACTGTTCCACCGAGGTTTCTTTGACGAATTACTTAAATAGAATTATCAAATCTTCCTAATAATTTCAATCATGTACATCATTGCTTGAACCGGCTTCTAATGCTATAGAGCGAGCGGCTTGGTGATAGTAGTCGTGGCTCCAGGAGGCACAGTCTTATGGTTACAGAGAACTCAGTAAAAGTTCCACCACCATATGTGAGCGAGCGGCGCTACATTGGCAATCTCTTCGTCACCGAAGCCCGGTAGAACAGTTGGTATGATGTTTGCTTGACAACCTAACTGTCAAGGTTTCAATTCTCGGTAGTGGATGCGCACTACTGATGAGTCCCAAATATAGGACGAAACGGCCGTCCAGTGCTTTCTGCATTCTGTTGAGGTTTCTTTCAGACTCGATGAATTACTTAAATATATATATATATATGTGTGTGTGTGTGTGTGTGTGTGTATCCACAATATATATGCTCCTGAAAAATCTATTTCGGTTGAGCTCTCTGGGGAGGAGGTGTGGATTTTTAAACAGTGATTATTACGGCTAACAATGCAAGACACTTCAGTAAATCGAATCGAGTCCTCTCAGTCACTGTGTGTTTATCTAAAAATAAATACGCTTAAATTCACCTTCATTCCTGCCATGCGCCAACGGCTTGGTGATAGAATCCCGCCTGATGCCAATAACTTCAGAGCGGCTTCCTTTGAGATTTCAATATTTGAATCATTTTTTTTCCATCTGAACAAATCTGACATCTGATGATGGTTCAGGATGATTTCGACGGAGAGCTGTGAGAAGTTCTGGTGTAGTAGATAGTATAGTATCGGATGAGGCCAATACTCTAACTGCAGCTGAGACATCACCCTCGATCAACTTAGCATTGATGAGGGCACGGAGTCTCTTAGAATCGTCGACTGTAGATGAAGGATGAAATCTATTATGATTAGAAAGATTAGAAAATTCGGTGGCATTTATTTTAGACGAATTGAATAAAGAAATGTTATTTTTCATAATAGGTGAGACACATGATGTAGGGTCCTTATTGTAAGAAATGCCGAGCATAAGTGTTGCGAAAAAGAAAAGGTGATCCCCTTCAAGCGAGCTGTTCATGTTAAGTGCCTGGTCTATGGCAGTAGCCAAGGCATCAGCTGCCGGGATTCTGACAGATTTATGGATTTTTAAAGGCACCTTCCGGAATTGCCTAAGGAGTGAGGTTGCCCTCAAAACTTCACTGGCATCTCTTTGGGTTGGTTCATTATGTTGATGGATCACACTATCTTGTAGACAAGATAAATGAAAAGACCGTTGACAATTTGAACAACTTTTGATTCTTTTACGCTTATTAATGCTGCCACAAGAAAAGCAACGATCCCATTCCAGCAAAGAAGAAGGAAGAAACATTTTTTCTTCCCTCCTTTTTCCTAAAATTAATGTAAAACTACGAACACGCAAGGGGTTACAGAAAGTGAGAGCAAGATTAAAGTGTTAGTACGTTGGCATCTCAGTCCCACACTTTCACTGTCGAAACGGTTAAATGTAGCCGCCTCTTCTACTCTAATAGCATCAAATCTCGCACTTCCCGTCTGTGGAACTCTCTTCCTCTTACTTGCTCCCCTGAAAGTTATAGCCTTTTTAATATGCAAATGTAATGTCAATCGACATCTTCTGATGCTTTGATCTAATTCCCCGTCCTTCTCTTTATCCTTTCCTCAATCACGTCTCTTTACGTTTTCTCCCACTCTTCATCACGCCTTGCGTGCTAGCGGCAGTCCCGCCTTCATGGTGTGAAATGCTTAAATAAAAAAATAAATAAAAAATTGTCGATTTTCTCTAAAGAAGATCAAACGCGTAAATCCTTTTTTTTTCTTTAGAAACAGTGTTTTTGTATTTTCAAATGAATAAATTAATCACATGAAGCGACGTGTGCTAATCACGCTGTCATCTGTGTTATTGTTATATGAAGATCTTAATTTCAGTCAATTTTCCAACTCCTTACAAACTCGTCAGAAACGGTATATATAGATTCTCCTGCTTGACCCAAAGTTTGAACTTATGGCCACCGGGTTACAATTTCAGTCCAGCCACCAAATGCTACACTTCACCAAAAACTTGTATTCATTAGGCTAATTAGTTAGCCTCATTTTTCAAGCCGTAAACCTAATGTCTATTCTTTCTTGTTCAAAAAATCCCATATTCAATTCTATGTTTGGCCTGCTGAGATTATCAGAACTGATTCTTTCAATTACCTCATTCGCCAGGGCTTCTTTCATTAAGCATTTGACATCATTTTACATATAAAAAATAGTTTTCAAATTTTTTGGCAACCAGTCTAGGAGAAGGAAAACATAGAGTAACCCTCAAAGTAAATGTCCTCTGTATTAATAATAAAGTGATACTAATTCACTTAATCTACCACAAGGAAAGTTCGTTTTTCGTGTCGTGCCAGAGGTTTTTTCTCGTCTGAGTCCATCCTTCAAATCTACAAATCAACCATTCATCCTTGCATTGAATAGTGGACTCTCCCGTCCTATTCGACGTATGAGGGTCATGCAGCTCAGTTCCTAGAAACCGACAGCCAGACACCAGCACATATGATTTGATTATAGTGGTGAAGGTTTTGCGCAGAACCAACCACACTTTTTGAAGGGCCGAGTACAGAGAGATGGTGCACTACGCGCCACAAGGTCTCAAAACGACCGTCTGTAGGTTTTGAATTCAGAATTGTCCTTCTCCTAGACCAGTTGCTATCCAAAGCTATAGAACCCAGTCCGTCCTGCTAAGGGGGAAGAGGAGGATTAATACCTTTACCATGGGTATTAGAACGTAAGCGAATGCAATGGATTCGACTGGAATTCTAACTCAGCTCTCCGATTCCTCAATCCGAGCAGTTACACTACCCCAACATGCCTCCTTTCCACAAAGCCTCTGTTGAGATGTTGTGAGTTTCCCGCGTGTCGGTGTATGAATCAAGACAAACACAGTTGTAGAGGAAAATACTGGTATATTCATAAAAGCAATTAACAATAGAGTGATTAGTAGAACGAAGGTTGGTTAGTACGAAACAATATCCAAAGTCTATAGTCCAACGGTATGTAACGGGTAAGCTTATCTGGACTGCTCACGCTGACTCTCTCTCTGACGCTCTGTCACTCTCTCTCCAGTGCTGACTTATATAAGAGGGACCAGTCCATTACTAGTTAGAAGGTGGGTGCGCCCCAACAGCCTCCTTACCTGTCATATATATTCTCCCGCTTTTCGTCTCGAGGTCCTCGACAAAATCCAGAAACGGATATGCAATATGCTAAGCTCTGATCTGGCATTTCGTCTACAGTCACTTTCTCAGAGAGGCACTGTGGATTCCCGCGTCTTTTTCTACAAATATTTCCATGGCAACTGCTCTGATGAGCTACTTTCACTGGTGCTCAAACTGCATGAATTTAAACGTGCTACTAGGTTGGTATCTCAGTCCCACCCTTTCACTGTTGAAATGGTTAAATTCTCTTCTACGCCAACAGATTTTTATCTCGCACTTCCTGACAGTGGAACTCCCTTCCTCTTACTTGCTTCTCTGATAGCTATAATCTTCAAATATTCAAATGTAATGTCAATCGACATCTTCTGATACCTTGATCTTGATCCCTGTTCATCTCTTTATCCTTTCCCCAATTACGTCTTTTTACTCTTGCTCTCACTCTCTGTAACCCCTTGCGGGCTAGTGACACTTACACCATGTTTGGGGTGATATGCTTAAAAAAAATATCGCTCATCAAAACTTACCGCTCGGGGAAGACCGCCTCTTCTTAAGGTCCGCCAATGTGTTAATGACTTATCAACCTGATAGTCAATCTTTACGACTCCTGCTGATTTTGCCAGGAACATGGCATTCGTTTTCCTTATACTTAAATTCTAACAATATATGAATAAAGTGAATGTCTTGTAATAATTGGACTTCTTTTTTCCTCCAATAGTGCGATAAAAAAAGGAAGTATTTTACAAAAGAAAAAAAAGGTTTTTCTTTTTCTAAAGCGAAGTCTCCGGAATTCTATACAACCTGGTCATATAATATCAAGAATGCTTTATAAATTCACCACGACTCGCCTGTGACATACTTCCAATAAATATAGGTGTCACTTGTCTCGTTACTCTCTGAGGTCCCCACCCCTTGATTCGGTTAGCCCATGGAGAGCACGTCTCTTTATCCTTCGACTCTCCTACACCCGATCTCGTAGGAGGTCACAACCACCGCATCAATTTAAATTCTCGGGCTGCTGGCAACGCTGATAAGTTTTGGATGCAAATATCTTTGCGACCGGACATATTAAGATTTGTTTCCGTCCGTAAAAAAAAAAAAAAAAACCTTCTTGTCTCCTTATGCCTTGGGGGTATACTTTTTTAAACTGAGGCCTGACAGTGAATGGGATAATTCACACAAGTGATTAAGCTTCATTTGACTCGTCCTTAACACTGGACTCAATAACAGTGTCCTGAACTCGCTCACTAAACTCGAGCGGAGTTGAGGATGCCGGTGTTAAAAATAAATAAATAATTTTAAAGATGTGATGGAGGTGGGTCTAAGTTGTATAGTAAAAGGTGAGTTTATAGCAGAAAAATATATCCAGGGGACTGTTTGTTGGCTGAAACTGATACAGATATCTCATCGGTTTTTCTTTCGCCATGCGTCGTGTACTTTCAAGACGTTGGTGATGATGGCTCTCCACATCTTCTTATTTATTGTTGATTTCAGCTATACAGTCTCTTTTATACTCGTCTATTTCTCTGTAATGATTATTGTTGCTTATACGAGGATAAATCAAATATTATCCACCCTTTCGCCATATTTGCCATCTTCAGGTTTGTCACACTGCCTTCTGTTCACGCGTGTTTATAGTTGGTACCATTGTCGTCATGTGATCAAAGTTTAAGCTTAATCGCGTATGTTATCTAAATGTTACAAAATAAATATGTTTATATATAATATGCATTAGGAGCCAATGGTTTGATCACATGACGACAATGCTAAACTCGAGCGGATTGAGGATGCCGGTGTTAAACAAATAATTTTTCTTAGATGTGCTGGAGGCTAATAGTAAAAGGTGAGTTTATAGCAAAAAAATATATCCAGGGGACTGTTTGTTGGCTGAAACTGAATGCTAATCTTCTTTCGCCATGTCATTATGTTTTCGATGTCATAATTGTTAAAACATTTTTTTTAATTAATTCAACTCAAGCAAGGTGTTAATGCCACTAAGACGTAAGGAACTACGGGATGGGAAAGAGAATGAACAGACTCAAGAAGGAACTAGGAACCCAATCTTAAACAGAGAACAAGTGATAAACCTCTGTTCATGTTCATAAGACAGAGGAGGAGTGTGAACCGAACGATAGGCGGACCTATCGACTCCACCTCGTGCTTGCTATATTCTGACATCTCCAATTCGTAACTCAGATTTTTTCTTGCCGACAACCATACATTCTAACTCTTTACAATCGACAGTTAGTCTTTGCTTCCCGCTTTTATTTTACTAACTTGCAGTTATTTTTCTGCATCTATAGTCAACAAGGTATCTGTGTATTTTATGTCGATAAGATTGTGCGTACCGATAACAAATCCTGGTAGGACTTCTAGTCTTCTTAGGAATACCTCGAGGTAAAGATTAAATAAATTCGATTAGAAGACGTATACTTGACGTACGCCTTTTCAATATCTATGAACAATATTCATTTTCATACGCAAATGGTTTTCCTTTCAGGATTCTTCTGGATTATTCTAATATCCTTCCTAAATATATCAAGCTTACCTAATTGTTCGAATAGTCTTTTGTGGTGTACTTTATCAAACTTTTTATCATAATTTATAAATTATATCTTCTGGATTTTTCTAATATTTTCTCGGTAACGTTTTCCTTGCAACTCAAATCGATCTAAGTCATTCTGTTGAAAAAAATATTAAATTTTGTTTTATTTCCCTTTTTTATAAGAGTTAAAATAGCGTTTTTATAGTTTTTGTATATAATTAAAGCGAAAATAAATATATAATCTACCCTTAAAAATAAATTTTGTTCCTTTTTTACCCTCGCGTTCGTTCAAACTTTTCCCGCCGGTTTAGGGTTAAAGTAACAAGAATCATGAGCAAAATGAAAGCAAGACGTTATTGTTGTTGAACACGAAACGGGCGAGTTACTGCTGCTTTCGTCAAATGTTCAGTTTTACACATGAACCCATCAAGAAGATAAATAATGAAAGAGAACAATAGACAGACTAAAAAGCAGTACTCGTGTTGCTGATTAAACCCCATTTGTAAAGTAATCAGTCTTTCTGCCGTGTAAAGTTAATTAAGCCAGGGCACGACTAAAGAATTCTAACAAAAAAAAAAAAAAAAAAGGAAAGAAATGGGATAAAAT